TGATTCGTTCCTTTTTTTTTTTCTTATTTAAATATTTTTATTTATCAAATTCAGATGCGGTTTTGACTAAATTGCAACAAATATTTAGATGAAGGTTGACTTATGGTCAAAAAATTCTAGGTTAAAAAAACATCTTCTCTGTTAAGAAAAAAAAGGTAGAAGGATTTTAATAAAAATGATAATTGCGGAAATTTATGGAATGTTGTATCTATATATGAGCAAAATGACACCTCTCTTTTTCAATAAATATTTTAAAAATGAATGTAACAAATACAATACAAAATAATACATTTATTCGATATATCTTACTCAAATTCAGGTCAATGAAAAAGCCCCTTCACTAGATTTATCAAATTCAGACAAATGAACCAACCAGCATACCATGTTTTCGGGTTATGACCCTCATCAGAAAATCTGTGTCGTTCATAATTCCAAACCTATCGTTTAAAAAAACGATCTATATCTAATATAATATCTAACATAGACATCAAAAAAGCCCCTGGGGTTGACAGTATAAGTAATAACATGATCAAAAGTGCCCTTCCAAATATTTTACCATTATTATGCGATTTATTTAATAAATGCATTCACTTCGGATATTATCCAGATAGATGGAAAGAGGCAGCTCTCAGGATAATTTCAAAACCTCACAAAACGAATTTAGAATTAGTAAAGAGTTATCGACCTATTTCATTAATTTCTAACTTATCAAAAATATTTGAAAAATTTTGAAAAATAAAATATACGAATACTATGAAAAAAATGATCTCCTTAACCCCAGACAACATGGTTTCTTGAAGAATAAGTCAACAACAACCTGTTTGAAAAATATCACAAAGATCATAATAGAACATAGACAGAAACAACTAGTTACGCTGATTGCAATTGATATACAAGGAGCGTTTGATAATACATGGTGGCCAGCCTTGTTTAAAAATTAGACGAAGACAATTTACCAGTTGAATTGATCAAAACTTTACGTTCCTTTTTGAAAAATAGAAAAACGATTTTCAAGTATAATAATATGAAAGTTTCAAAGATATTAACAAAGGGCTGTCCTCAGGGTGGGGACCATTGTCTCCGTTGTTGTGGCTGATATATTTAAATGATCTGCTAATTAATTTGCAATCACCAAACTCTGAAATCATTTGCTATGCTGATGATGTAACTATTATATGTTGGAATAATGGGTTAACAAATCTAAAAAAGTCTATTGAGTTTAATTTGGAAAAGATAGATCAATGGTGTAATGATAATAAGCTAAATATCAATCTTGATAAAACTAGTATTTTACACTTGCACAATAAAGACAAAATTTCAATTAATTTTAGAGACAATATTATTGTGCCCGTAGAAGAAATTAAAATTCTTGGAATTACGATTGCGAATCATAGATGGAAAAACAAATTGAATTTTGGCCCTCACCTTAACATTATACTAAACAAAACCCAAAGATTGAAAAGCCTTCTTTTTTCAATATGTGGAAAATCTTGGGGTCTTAGCACCCAAAAAAGGTTTACACTTTATAAATCTATAATAAGACCAACGTTAACTTACGGAACAGAAATATGGTTTCAATTTTTATTAGCAAAAAATATAAGTACAAACTGAACTCAATGCAATATCAAATTCTGCTATGGTGTACCCAAACATATAAAACAACCAGTTATAACTGTGTTCACACCTTAGCCAATATTCCTTTGATCACTGATTATATGGAATCTAGAATTATAGGTTATATATATGAGTTGAATAATTTATCAACAGAAGATAAACAATTTCATGATTTGTATATTCCAGGTATACTCAAAGATTTCATTATATCAAGGATTAATTTACTGAAAAAGAATACTAATCAAACATTTCAAAGTTTCTTTCCTTATGAAATTCCGAAATATTTTCGACCAAACTATTATAATTCACAATTTATCACAGATCATGGAAATTTCAGGTTTTTTCTTAAGAAAATTCAGGCTGAGCAAGATTCGACATGTTTCTGTGGATTGGGGGAACAAACTTCAATACATCTCTTGCTAGAGTTCCCTGTCTTTCAAGATTACAGAGTCAACAACGATTTAATAGCTTTAGGCCCTAGTGATTTAATTTCAAATAAGGACACATATATAAAATTTAATTTCCTTTGTAAATATATTTTGGATTTCATTAAGAAAAATGGTCTTTGATGTAACGATCTCAAGGAAATATTGGACATATTATATGGTTGTAAACAATATATAGGTGTATGCGTATATATGTATATATTTCAAATTTAATGATTTAACTGTAAATAAAATTCAAAGAATATCTCTATATGTAAATAATATTTATGAATCTTTCTAAGTAACTTTCTCTGTATCTTTCCATGTTGAATCTTTTCTTTGTTATATTTGTATGTACATTTAGCGCAAGTGTCCCTAGGGGGACATAGCGTTTTGAATTGAAATAAATAAATAAATATAGGTCGCAAAAATGTAACTTTTAAGGTTTAAAAATATATATGAATAATTATATTTGTGTGAACAATAATCGCGCACATAAAGTGTGTCACATCACACGGAGAATTTCAGAAATATTTATATAAAATAGGTGTTTCATATACACCAAATCGTTCCTGCGGAGAAACTAAACAAACTGTTCTTCACCTTATTTATGACTGTCGAACTTTGCAGGAGTGAGACATCGATTGTTCCCTGATCTAAATGATTTAACTCGCTTACATCAGCCACTTTGTTTATATAAATTTTATGAACTCTGTCGATTTATACATATAAATATTTAATTCAAAGTTTTAATTTGTTCGTTGTTTTGTTTATTTCCTCCGTAATAGGCACACATATTTCAATATCTCACGCCTGGTTGATTAATAAATAATAAAATGATAAAAGTGTGTGTCATTGTAATATAAAATAAGCTTACCTACCGAATAGAATGTAGAATTTACAGAATATGCATGTCCTATAATCTATTCTAATATTTTACACTGGTCATTGTGGGAATAATTTGTATGTGAATGATATTTCCCCCGTTCTAAACTAAATCTTACAATCGATTGCTCCAATATTTGGTGTACAGAATGTAAAACAGCTACAGATATTTCTCTACTTAGCATAGTTCATGCGATGCTAGTGATGAAGTGAGATTTAATACCGTACTGGCAAAATATGCTTCCAGAAATAAGCAAATGCTACTGAATCAAATACCTTAGAACTATCCCAAAGAAGACTTTAGGGTGGAGGCACGTTTACGAACACTAACGAAACATTCCGAAAATTCTTCTTTGGAATTCCTTTTTATTTTCGTCCAAATATTTATATCTCACAGTTCATCACAAATCATAATAATTTTGGAGAATTTCTGTCGAAAATCGGAGCAACGGATGATCCTAGCTGCTTCTGTGGAAAAAAAAACCAAAACTCAATACATTTATTAATAGAATGTCCGATCTGTGGGAAAACTACAGAAGAAATCATTTTTATCCCATCGAAGAAATTTGCGAATTTTTATATAACAAAGACACTTTTGTGAAATTCAATAATTTTTGTAAATTCATTTTAGATTTTCTCTTCTGTTTGAGAAAACCATCGTTTCAGTTTTAATTGTTTTTAGTCCGGTTATTGAGTTGTATATATTGAATTGTATAGCGATTGCTAAAATATATTTAGGCGCAAGTATCCCAAGCTGGGATATCCTGTCCGATATGTCAAATAAAAAAATATAGTTAAATACTTCATCAAACTTTTTAAAAAAATATTATTTTTTAGCGTATCGGCGACCTACTATCAACCTTTTAAATGGTGTGAGAAGCTTATTACAAATTTCCACTAACAACCGTTCCACCTTTTTTGAAAAGGGCGACGATGGCTCGACGAAACGTCAAATGGCTAATAGACGTTTATAAAAAAAGATTGATAAGTCTTCAACTTGAAGGAATGAGATAGACCATATGTACTGATGGTAATGATTGAAGGCTCCAATTCAAAAAGACGCACTCGTATTAAACATTCTTTACCAAGAAGTATATTCAACTCTGAAAAGAGTTGTTTTCATAGTTAGCCAAAGACCTGGCTAAGATAGCAAAAGAACTGTCTAGGATAGCCAAAGTACTGACTAGGATAGCTGAAGAACTGAGAGGGATAGCCAAAGTACTGACTAGGATAGCCGAAGAACTGACTGGGGTAGCCAAAGAACTGACTAGGATAACCAAATAACTGACTGGGATAGACGAAGAACTGACTAGGATAGCCAAAGAACTGACTGGGGTAGCCAAAGAACTGACTAGGATAGCCGAAGAACTGACTGGGGTAGCCAAAGAACTGACTAGGATAGCCGAAGAATTGACTGGGGTAGCCAAATAACTGACTAGGATAGCCAAAGAACTGACTGGGATAGCCGAAGAATTGACTAGGATAGCCAAAGAACTGACTGGGATAGCCGAATAATTGACTAAGATAGCCGAAGAACTGACTGGGATAGCCAAAGTCAAAGTTCTGTATCTCTCATCAGGTGTAATGCGCCTATTTATTCAAATTAATTATAAATTTGATCATATTATTAAAAAGAAACACACTGCCAGTAAATTAATTTGTTAAAATTTTATCAATAGATGGCAATTGAATTTATAAATTTTGAAATTTTTATAATTTATTTATAGTTATATACAGTACATTAACATAATATATATTATATCATTCTTCATATAATTTACAACACTGTTATCTTTTATAAATCTTCGTTTATTTAAATAAATTTATATATTCAGGGGGGGGTAACAATTTATTATTTTTACTTATTAAATATTATATGGTGAATTAAATTCGCTCAGGGAAGACAACATGAGTGAAGAGAAAAGGTGGATGAACCTGCCAAACTTATACTGTTGTAACAATTTCTGGGCATATAGAAACACTGATTCAGTTGTTTCAAACTCTGACAGTCATTTCCAAATATTTATCATCAAAGGTTTTCGGATTTTTTTTAATTCTAAAAAATCATAAGATGCCGTCTGGGGTCGGTGGAAGGATGGTCTAAACCGTTGGTTTTCGACCGATACGACCCGGGTTCGATTCCCGCATTGGACACTTTTTTCTATTAAAAAAATGCCTCAATGGCCCTCGATTCTTGCAAAAGTCCAACCCCACTAGCGAGTGCAAGTAACCAAACGGGGCTCTGGCACATTTGTAAGTGCAAAGTCGAACTGCTTTTCACCTAGGTAGACATGTGGTGCACTTACAGTAAAAAGCAGTCGCTAACTACCCACCATGATTATCATGGCCTGTACCACGGGATAATAAAAAAGATGCCGTAACTCTTTTGATTTATTTTTGATCAAAATAAGTTTTCGGGCAAGCCCTTCTTTAGCTAACTAAAACCAGGCTGAACCTGCATAAAACTAGCAACATCAGCTAGTAACATTTTAAGTTACGTGTCCCAATCAGAATATGTATTCAGATACCAACAGAAGAACTGAGGATGAACAGGATTCAGCATTGGAACGAGCAGGTTCGAGGAGGATAACCTTATCTTGTATAACAAGGTAGATTTTTCGAGGAAAGTTAAACGATGAATAAAGTTCTTGATTTGGAGTTTGAAGAATGAATATTCTCTGGAAATATATCTAAACCCTCCATAAAAAGATCAACGAGCTTCTTTACATATACAAGGATATAATTATTTTTGAAAAGTATTATCGGGAGCGTGTAGATAAGTCTAAACGTTTAGATAAGCCTCTTGCCATTAAAGGAAAACGGGTAAATTGATAATCGTAATGAAGGACATTTACATAAGGTAGGAAATAATAAGAGCAGAAACTTGGGGGAGAGACATCAGGGCTGAAGGTTAAAGAACCAGAAATCTTGCGGAGGAAAATTACAAGTGACCAAACAAAGAGCGCAAACAACAGCAAGAGGTTATGGAGATGATCTCTTCTAAGGAGACGGAAAGGTCATTGAGATTCTTCATTTCAAATAAGAATCGAGAGGTGTATGTAATGTGAGAAACATTGCAAGTCTAACCTATTTACATACTTGTATAAAGTTTGTCTATCCCAGATTTGTACCGCAGAATTTGTAAGAACTTCTTATTCTGAAAATTAGGTAAAAAATGTATATTTGTAGATCGTGTGGATTGTCATCGTGACATGTGCGATTGGGAAGACATAACAAAAGTAAAGTAAAAAGACAAATAGTAATAAGCTTCTTTATTATAGGTGTGTTCGGCTATAATTTAGAACGTTACACCTTTCTTTTCGCTTGAAGGCTCTAGCTGAATTTATAATGAAAAATACATTGTGCAATTTGTCTTTTATAATAGTTTCGAAATTTCATAATAGATGGCGCGCTAATGTATCTTATTTTAAATGTTCTAAAAAAAAGACTAAATTTGATGTTTTCGGAAGAGCGATTGTTCGAAGCATATTATATATTTATAATTGTATATATTTCTACTGTCCTCAAAGCTTATGTCCAAAGTTCCTTCAAAATACCCATTACAAGAGTCTAACATCAGTACCAGTATAAAAGGAAAACAAAAAATTCTATATACAGTTACGAGCGTCATTCCTCATCTCCTAAACAATCAGTCATCAGTTTTCCTCTCTGTTACCGTTTGCTTTTTTTTTTTTTTTTTGAATGGCGCCCTCCTATTGGTTGGCTACGGTCACGCCACCTTTGCCCCCCCCCACTCGCTATTTCGTCTTTGTAACCATTGTGTTGGAGCGGGTCGCTCCCTAAATAAATGCATATATTAGATAATAACCAAATGGAATCCTCTCTTTCTTTTTCCCAGTAAGAGACGCCTACGGAAGCCAACAGTACATAGACAGATAAAGCACATAGGCTATAGTTATTAACTAAAATATGAATTTATTTAAGGCGCCAATTTATAATTGTAACAAATAGTATTTGAATAAAAACATTCAATCGGGTAAAACACGGGCGTTGCCCGGGTCATTCGGCTAGTGCAATATAACAGCGGTATGGTAGATTAAACTGGCTAAACCGCTGGGAGGGTTCAAAACTGATGAGACAAGCCGTCATATTAATGCAGTAAAGGCAGTAGAAAATTGTTTAATTTTTAAAAGAATCATACGCGTCTATAATAGTTTGGAATTCTCATAACAGATGGCACGCTAATGTATTATATTATAATTTGTCTTTTATTTTATTACGTATTTTTTATCAGTATCCTTAATAATGAGGGTTTTCTAGGTCAATATAGCCTTTCTTCTTGTCATTTATTTCACGGAAATAGAAATATTGTGTGAAAAACACAGGATCAATGGGATAAAAAAAAACGTTTTGTGGATATAAGAAAACAGAGGTGGGAGAATTGTAACGAATCAACGAATGGGTAAAGTAAATAATTTGATGTTTTAAGAATGGATCTCCAATTAAATCCTCCTCTATACATTCTGTCAGATATTTTGTCGGGTAATTGGGGTTTAGTGAACCTAGGTTAATGTAATATTGTCTCGTGTCTTTATCCGTAACAAGTACAAGTACAAATTCTATATACAGTTACGAGCGTCATTCTTCATCTCTTAATCAGTCATCTCTGTCACCGTTTGCTTTTTTTTTGGAATGGCGCCTTCCTATTGGTTGGCTACGACCACGCCACCTTTGCCCCCCCCCCCACTCGCTTTTTCGTTTTTGTAGCCATTGTGTTGGAGCGGGTCGCTCCTTAAATAAACGCATATATTAGTTAATAACCAAATGGAATCCTCTCTTTCTTTTTCCCAGTAAGAGACGCCTACAGAAGCCAACAGTAAATAGACAGACAAAGCACATAGGCTATAGTAATTAACTAGCATATGCATTTATATAAGGCGCCAATTTATAATTGTAACAAATAGTATTTGAATCAAAACATTCAATCGGGTAAAACACGGGCGTTGCCCGGGTCATTCGGCTAGTATAAATATAAGTACAAGTAAAAGTATGACAAGTACAAATAATATAGATGCAAATTTCTCTCTTTCCTTTTACAAAAATTATAAACAAAATCTAATATGAAAATTCGAAACTATTATATACGCGTATGAATCTTTTAAAAATTAAACAATTTCTACTGCCCTTACTGCAATATGTCTATAATAGTTTCGAATTTTCACAACAGATGGTGCGCTAATGCATTATAAAAGCTAATATATTGCGTATTAATATAAGCTTTGGCCGTGTCGTTCTAGAGTAGTACGACATCTGGTTGTTTGTCAACTGGTGTAATGAGAAACATTGTACATCACCACGTTCTCTACTGAAGAAGTAAACTAAATGTATTTCTAATACAATATAATGCGGCTTATGATTGTAAAACGACGTTTGACAAGTTTTACCGCAAATGTTTCTTTTGAACGAAAAATCGTAATTTATTTTAAGAAGAAATAACGACTATTTCTATCCTTAGGGATGAAGTATGAAAAGATGAACGGAAAAAATAAAAGTGTCCAGGGATGGGAATCGAATTCACAGTGTTCCGCTTACCGGACAAATACCATGTCCACTAGGCTACCCTGTGTATTCTAAATCTATAAATGTATTTTATTAATGAATTTTTAAAGAGAGCGATGCCTCTTTTGATACATGTTTACTATCCTCCCAAAATAATCTTTCTTTATAACTAATTTGGTTAATTTTATTTTAAAACGATTATGTTAAAATTTCATGATCCTATCCTAAGACAAGATCAGTCATGCTTGCAATATTGAAACGATATTGCTGAGTATCGTTGTCACCACTGATAATCCATGTAGGTCCTAATGTATTTCAATCTCAGTAAAGTCAGGAGGAAGTGTTTTATTTAAAAGCTAATAATTTTCTCAGTAATTTATTTCATTTTTAATATTACTCTATTTTTTACATAATAAAGGGAAAAAATTGATTATCAGTTTCATAATAAACTCTTAAAATATTGAATCAATTTTCAGCAAACTGAATGTGACCCTTGTTTTGAAACCTTGTATTTTATGAACATTATATATTTTCAGAAAAAGGTATAGCACACAAACCAATGATCCCGACGTCAGCGACTTTCTGTCATTCTTCTCAGGGGAGAGTTATATAAAATTATATGAAAAATAGTACAAAAGTGAATTTGTACTTGGATCAGGTAGATAAGTTAAGAAAAAAGGCATTTCCTGAATGTGAAACTGAAAGTTGCTGATGGCTTGCTCCATCTTTTTCAAGATGCCCCAAAGACCAGCCTTTTTGGTCGTTGAGGTACAGCTTGCACAACGCTGACGAGGGCCAACAGCCCGAAACGCGTACGTGGTTAGATTCTCTTGATTAATCAAGAAACGGTATTTGGCCAATTCTGGAATAATTAAAAATCAACAAATAGTTGATATTGATTCCGATAGATGGCGCAAGCCATCAGCAATTTTCAGTTGCACGATCAGGAAATGCCTTTTTTCATTAATTATATATTTACGAAGCAAATAAAAATTACATTATCAGTACATGCGGAGCAAATATTTCCTTTAGTCGCATCCGCTTCTGTTAAGTTTTGGAATTTTCTAATTGAGAAGCTTGGAAGGTTGAAATACGTGTTTAGCCATTTACAATTTTAACTTCGGTCCTTGAGATGTTAAATTGCATAAATTAATGTTTATATATTATAATTATCAGAAATGTGAATATGGCAAAATATGGCACAAACACGATGACACAATGGAAAGACTTTTGCTACCGTCACAAGGAAATATCTTGAGCAGAATACAAAAGTTTTGTTATATTTTATATTATAAATTTTAACTATTTTCAACGCGTATGAATATTTTTGAAATAGAACACTTTTCTACTGCCCTTACTGCAATAATAAATTAATGGGAGTGCCTGGCTCATCAGTGGTGAACACTCCCAACGATTTCGCCAGTATAATCTACCACTGGGATGGATCACCACTGATGAATCAGCCCCTCCCATCAATTTATCATTGCAGTAAGGTCAGTAGGAAACTGTTTTATTTTTTAAAAGGAACATACGTGTCAAAAATAGTTTGAATTTCTGATAACAGATGGCGCGATAATACATCATATTTTATATTAGAAGATATAAATGTTTATTTAAAAACCTTTTCCCGAGAG